GCTAGTCAGATTGTAAGGGTCAGGTTATGGTAGCCTAGAACTGGTTTTTAAGATGTGCAGTCAAATCAAATCCATCAATATTTCATCTGAATGAACACATTTTAAGAGACAGAGGGACAGCAAAAAAAAAAAAAAAATGAATAAATAAATCTCCTGCATCCAGAAAAGCATGTTCCACCTCTATCACCATTATAAAAGAAATTGTTGAAAGTTCACCTTCTACTGCAAACAATACTGGTTTTTACACTTCATATTATACATTTTGAATCCATGAAAGTGTCCTATTTAAAAACCTGAGTTTTATTTTGCTGTCATCGTCACAAAATAAAGCCTATGGGCCAAGCAGGAACCTCTAGGTGAGGCTAGCAGGGAAACACCAATGTGCGTGTCCAGGGGGGGGGCCGCAATACAAGCAAACCCGGATGATAAAAAAAAAACTGGTTAGCTCATATGCAAGAATTTTTCATTCAAGTGAGCGGGAACTATGTCTAGTTTGCCCCCATTTTCTGTGGGACACGAGCAAATCACTTTACAAGGCATTCTGGGATTCCAGGAGGCAGGAAAGGGGTAAAAAGTAATTTTTAAAATTACATTTATGCAAATGGGGTCATACCCTGTAGAGACTGAACAATTAATTTTAAAATTGAAACTGCAATTTGAAGCTGTGCAATTAGCAAATCTCAAAGACTGCAGTTTAGGATATATGCTATACAACATGTCTGACCCAGAGTCTAAACAGTCGTGTCAATGATTCTACATGTTCATCCCATCATACTTTTGATGGTGTCTCATGTGGTAATGATCTATTACATGTTTTGAATCTATTACACAGTGAATGTTTTGCTAGACTTTAAAAAAATGATGTCACAAATGCAATCACAGCTGCAATTTCTGTCTGAAAATGCAATGCAATTATTTTCTCCAGATGGTTCACCCTTAGGAGCTACATTTTGCTAAAATTGTGACAAAAAAAAGCAATCCAGTAGTGGGCTTTCACCTGTATTAGATACATAGGCAAAGATCGTTGTTGTACAGTCTGGGATCCCTCTTTTCTGTGTCCTTGGTCTAAAGATTTTCATAAAAAAAAGAAAATCCAAGTGTTGCTTGGCACAACATCCCGTGAATCAAGTTTAAAGCTGCTCATTAGCTTGCGAGCGTCGACACACCTACAGCAATAAGTGAAAAAGTGATAGCGGGGATAATGGACAATTTGAGTGTTGTTTTTTTTTAAACAGTTATTATGGTGGATATTTTTAAGCAACCTCTCCAGGGAGACATCGATAGTGTTGCATTGGGCTGCAGACAAAATGAGTGCCACGTGTATGAGTGACAATTAAAAAAGAGAGAAATAGGATTCTAGTCAACTACAACAAAAAATGGTCATGAATGCTGAAGCAAATGTCAGAACTACCTGTGGGTGGAGGGGCGTTTCCCACTGTCTAATAGTCTGACATGCAGTTTTGACAAAAAATAAGTCTTGACTAACTATCTGGTCTTCTTTTTGGGGAGGGGGTTTGGAAAGCACCTTGTAGCTCCAATTTGAAAGGAGCTATGTAAAGAAAGTTTCTAATAACAACACAGTTGCTGGTTGGTTTGCTGAGTTCTTCTGCAAACAAACTGTCAAAAAAATGCCAAAATATTTCTCTTGAAATAAAAAGAGAGATAGTTCTCGATCTATGCAGCTTTAATGCATATAGAAATGCCAAATATATACATTTTTAAATTGTGTATTGGAAGCTAAAAATGTTCTGTTTTCTCTTATATGAGATAAGAAAACATTAAAATCCCACATTGAAATAAAGAGAGCTGTTGTAATGGTATGTATTTTTACGGTGAAGTTTAATTTTCTGGTTTCAGTACATGGACCTTGCAAACAATATATACAGCTTTACAAGAAGTTATGGAAGGCTTTTTTCACCCCCATACAATTATGTCTTTATTTTCAACAGGCCACTAATCAGCACCAGCTAACATGCTTTGTTGGGCAAATCGTGAAGTGGAACACTTAATTAAATATTATTGCATCAAGCAATTTAGCTCATGAAGTAGTTCTGAAAAAGCAGCAGACTGATTGCATTAATGAATCATCCTGTAATGAATCAGTTGGAATGTGCATTATTAAGGTATTTTGGAAATAGGGGTATTATAATGTAGGTTATGCTGAAGTAACAGCAAAACAATAGGTCGACTGTTTCTGTGTCAGATTTTCTCTAAGACTAATATTACCCCTTCTGTCACTTTGGATTTGAAAGTTTGAACTTTTCTACAACTGTTGCTTGCACGAGCAGCTGTCGACACACTGAGATGAGATGCTTTGAAATTTCTGTCAAGAGTGTGGGGCAGGTTAATGGAGAGAGCAGGGAGAGACTTCTTTCTCTGTGTTCTGTTCTCACCACTCTTCAAGATATGTTGTTGCTCCACTATAGACAGAAACACATTAATTATAAGGTCAAAATTAAATGTAGTGCTAATTAGGCTAGAACTTAATTTGAAAAACTAAAAAATATACTCTACACAATGTCCAGGAGAGTAGTCTTATAATCATAGGATATATATTTTTAAGCTGACTGCCTTTGTGTACATGCACTGCCTTTTATTTCTGTTTAGTTTTAAACAGAGCCTACAGATCTAGAGCATGGGGTTTTCTTTACAATAGCGTTTTATTTGATGTCATGTTCACAGCTTTCTTGATTGATTTCTGATTGATATGCGGCGGCCTTGTCAACTTTACCGCGTGCCAAATGGCAAAGACCTGTATCTGCTTTTTTTCGGACCTCCTCTGGAGCTCAAAGATCAAAATAAAACCAGTTCAAAAGCTGCATTTTGATCTGATACATATAAAGCTCTGCAGCTCTCGCAACTGTCACATGTTCTCCTCGGAGGTTTCCTCGACATCACCAGATCATTTGTCATCCTTTCAACATTTAGAACAATGAAAGCTACGAAGTTGCTATAAAGGTAAATGAGCTAAAATGTTAAGGTAGAAAATGAAAAACATACTATGAGCAACAGTACAATAGACGCAAGGTTCAGCTTGATTCTCATGCTTTGGGAAAAAAAGTGTCAGAAAAAAAAGGGATTGGATTTCACTAACTGAAATGAACAGACATACTCTAAGTGCACGCCTCTCTGGTTCCTGCTTCAGTGCAGTGCTTGAAAAGTGATTATGTTTGGATGAATAACTGACTTCAGGACAGACAAGCAGGAGAGTAAAACACGTCATACTCACGGCGTAATTCCTTATATATCCCAGCTTTGGTACAAGAGAGAAAGGAGATTGTTTAACTACAGTCACTGGGGGGAAATGAGAACACAATAACCACTTTTATATTTTGCTGTCTTGCGTCTTACGCACCACAGTGAGCATTTTGAAGTCGCTCGCCCTAATGTGTCTTTGAGGTAAAATTCATGATTTTCTAATGTCTTTTGGATTAAAGTATTATGCAGCTATTATCCATTTTGTATTCAAGCCAAACCTGAACGGTAATGATAGAGTTATTAGTGAAATGACCTTTTGATGTTACGAGTCAGAATTTGGGGTGATATTTCCTGAAGCTACAACAGATAAAGTCCCTTCTCACAGTACAAAGACTATTAAAAAGTCATGAAAATTTCATTTAGCCCTGTCAGAAACAGGAAATGGTGCATGTTTTTAAAAGGCTTCCAGATGATGCTACATTTTATGGCAGCCATATTGCTAATTCTCTGCTTTTGACAATAAAACGCACAATGACCTCTGAATATTACTTATATCTCAACAGAATTAAGTAGACATAGATCATTTGTGCACTTTTAATATACAAATAAACAGTGCAAAATAAATTAACCAGTTTTGCATGTAAATAGCATTAGCATTAGCAAAAACACTATAGTATCAAGCTGGCTATAGGTAGCTATTGGCTAGTGGTAACATTGTAGCTGGTTGGTGTGCTAAATCTTTTAGTTTTCTAAAAGTGCATATATATATATATATATAGTTTATTTTAGTTGTTTTAAAAAAAAAAAAAACAGGAGTTCTGAAGTGTTTAGCCGAGCATCAGTTCACTCAAAACATTCTCCTTGGGATATTTGTCCTCATAGCAAAAAACCTGAGCTCAATTTTCCAACTCACGCAAACCAATTTTTGTACCATGTGTTAAGTTGTGTTAAGTCAGAACAAATATTTTACCTACTAACCATGAGTACAACTGAACCAGACTGTGTGAGTTGCCTAAACATGAGCCAGCAAATAACCAAAGTTGTTAGCTCACTCAACTCCGTGTTAAGCAGAGTTATTTACTTTCCCCGAACTTAAAGAAATCGTTTGACATTTTGGGAAACATGCTCATTTAACCATTTTCACACTGCTTTTTGTGTTGTAAAAAGTGAACCAGAGGTAAGATATCTGAACTTTGGAGAGCAGCCTGGTAAAGGCGCGTGAATAGCATGTTGTCAGTTTGTATGCGACTGGAATTAATTTTTTTGGCATTTGGCGCATCAATGAAGTGCCGACGAATGTCTCCTTTAACTTATGCTTTACCTCCAGTCTTAATCATTTTATGTAGTACATTAAAACAGCAAAATAACATGTTAAAAGCTTAAAAAGTGTAGACATGACACAAGAAATGTGTCTTAAGTTGCATGCTATTTATAAGCAATTCCATGGTATCATGTCATTGGGTAGCTGTCTTGTAGCTCAAGCTGCCGACCACACAGATGTGAGTATTGTTGCGTATTTCCCAAACTGTTGAACAATTTCTTTAAACATTAGAAGCTTTTCAGCTATTTCATCCTATGCCCAGCAGTCATTCACTTCTTGGTCACAAGGGTCTTACTAAATCTAAATTTATTTCATGCTGGTTTAGTAGATTTTTGGAAGTGTGAATATTATATCTTCCTATGGGCCTCATTGATGATGATGACGACATGTGGTTGCCCGTAGATTTGGGACACAATCTGCTTGCAGTCTCTAAAATATCGCATTTCAAAGAGTCCAGCTGATGAGAAGGAAGGGATTTTACCTTGTTTCTCTTGAAATAGGCTCTGCGGCAGGCGGCGAAGCACTTCTCACTGCAGAAGCTCTTCAGCTCGCTCCCCATGCTCAGAGAATAGCGTTTGACGCCGACCTTCTGGCACCAGGCGCACATGATCTGCACATTGGATGCATCGTCATCTGAAGACAAAAAAAAAAAAAACACAATAGTGAGGATGTAGTGCTTTACACCGCAGGCCTTCATTCTGCACAGTCAGGGCCAAGAGAAGGATCACTCTACATTTATAGTCTGTTTTTTTAAGATTAATTTCATTTCTGCTTACAGCACGGCCAAAATTGAGCCTGTGGTAAATGCCTTACCCTTTCTGATTACAATATATGCTGTTGGTTTAGAAATTAAAAAATCTATAGCAGAGAATAAGCATGCAGTAACTAGATGTATTACACACACGGACCAAAAGGCATTAATTCCCCTGATTAAGCCCAGCTGCTGGGCTGGTTAAATCTTTTCAAGATTCAAGCCACAAAACCGCTGTAGGATTTATAATGAAGCCCTGCCATGAGTAAATGTAGGCAAACAGGATGAGCCTGGGACATGGGAAAAAGCCTGTTTGTGGCTGTGCTCTGTGGGTATTAGAGAGCCTGAAGTGGATGCAAGTATGCGCTCTGATGATGCTGAAGATGACACAGGAGTCGCTGACAGAAGGTGCGGTTTCCTGTAGAAATTATACTCGCAATTTGTGCCAACAAAATTGTCAGTTAGGTGCGGTTTGTTTATCAAGACAGTGCATTTATTGAGAGAATTTTTTAGGAAGAGCCCTGTTCCCTTTTACACTGCTCTGATCTCCAGCACTAAACTTAATGTGAAACCGCACTTTAATTTTTTTATATATTCCCAAATTATTCATGATGAGGGCACTCTCAGGGCAGAGAGAGGGAAGAAAGAGAAGAAAATTAAAATACATGAGGGAAAAGAACCAAAAAGAAAATAAATACATAAACAAATGCAGCAGGCAGCCCACAAGGACAGTCAAAGTGACAAACAAATATTCACATTAAAAACAAGGCAGTGCTTACGATGGAGTTCACTTAAAATAGGTTATAGTAAATTTACAAAAATTAGATCTATAGGATGTTCAGAATACATTAAATTGTATGCTGACGGTTAGTCTGTTAACTGATGTTAGTACATAAAATGAAAGTATGAAAAAGGAAAATACAAGAGACCAAACTGACAAATAGTGGTTGTTACAGGAGTGTTTGGCTTTGTGAGTTTGTGAGTGCATATTTGCATGTTAATGGGTGTTTTAGCTGCAGGGCTCTGGCAGTAAAGGTGGACTGCAGCAAGTTATCAGTAAGTATATTTTTTCAGTTCTGTGCAAGTGTGTGTCTCTGATAATGCGGCTTTGACTTGTGTAGGAGGGCAGGAATAAGTTCAGCTTACAAAGTCCGAGAGAAAGCATTCGAAACTATGAATTTGAGAGACAAAAAGAGAACACTCAGATCTTGTCCGTCTCTTAAGATTTGTGTTAAGCATCAACAAAATTTCTAAGTGAATCTGCAGCTGACCCCCTTACATTGCTCTCTATTCTCACAAAAACATGTTTTTGACAACAGCACATCCAGCCCCGTGTTTAACCTTTCATCTAAATGTACTGTATGTAGCTGCAGTGTTGCTGTGTGGTCAGTGTGGGCAACAAATTATTTTAACAGCCCCTCGGTGACAGTGAAATGCCTCTTCTGTGGTAAACTGTGACTGCTGATGATGAGCTGCGGGCTTTTAGTGCCGTCGCTGTTGAAATGAGAGAGATCCTCCGAGATTCCCTCCAGTATCTCCCAATTATCACATTATGACCATACGCGGGTGTGAGGGTGAAAAAACGCAGGCCCATTAGTCTTTCACCTCCGTTCACCTCCTTATCGCACGCTGGCCAGGCTTTTCACCTCTTGTGGAGCTTAATGGATCTACAGGGCCATCAGATTTTAAGTAAAGACTAACTCACAATTAAGGGAATAACTCCCTGGGGCCCTAAAGACAGCACAGTGGACCCAACATGCATATTTTATGTCTTTCCTTCCCCTCTGATCTGTCTCATTCCCATAGTCTCTCTGCCTTTTTGTGTCTGCCACTGCCCACTGCAGTGATAAGAGAAAAACAAGAAATAGCTTAATTCTAAGCTGACTGGGTGGGTGGATCAGGGTTTGTGCATTGCTGGAAAAAATGCATGCACCACAGCATAATAAACAGGATCGAAGGCCAATATGAAATCACAACATCTTTCACAATATCTCAACGTTTTCATACAAAGAGACATCTTGAGGTGGAGTTGTTTTTGCCTTCCCACATCCTGGCACCTCCTAACAAGCTCATCTCCAAACACTCACATCTGCATGAGGGGGGGGAAAAAACATGCCAGTAATTATGCAGCCTCCGTACTAAATGCCACCGTCGTTCGCCGTACCTGCACCTCAAAAGGTCCTTTGTCGGTTTTTGCGGGGGCACATGAATAATTCAGCGTATGTGTGGAGGTGGGGGTGAGGGGGAACGAGTTGAAGGAGGTGTCGGCCGGTTGGTTAGTTGGTGCTGGGCTTTAAGTGGGACCGCGCCATCTGTTTCCCCGCCTAGGCAGGGCCAGTGGGGACTCCTCTTGGGCGATGCCAAGGCGGCTCGCTCCCTCCGCCGGGGCGTACCAGCCTCCTGTCCACAGCAGACGCAAGGGATAATGAAGCCCTCTGTCTGGCCGAGGAACACGGACATTTCCTCAGAGAGTTGATGGGGTAATATTGACACTTGGGCAGGTGGAGAAAAACAAGGTGTACAGCAGGTAGCTAGCTCATTAGTCTCCTGTCCCTGCCTGATACAGAGGCTTTCTGGCCGTTGCAAAGACCCAAAACTTTCAACACTGCATAAACATTTAGTTTTCATGCAAAGTGCCGGAGAATCAGCAAGTAGGTTTGTATCTTCAATGCAGAGTAATCTGTTTGGAGAACAGCTGTGGATGAAATCTATGACATTTCTTCTTTCTGACTGGAGAAATAAGTATCCGTGTGTGTGTGTGTGTGTGTGTGTGTGTGTGTAGTTAGGCATTTGGGTGAATACATCAGCAATCAGTGCTGGCTGAAAATGACCTTGATCTTTTAGGGAAATTTAAAATGTAACCTTGTTGGTAACATAAAAGCCTAAAACAGCTGTAACTGTATACACCAGCTCAGAGGGAGGCTGGATTGCCCATTTGAGCACATTTTGATACTGTTTTTTTTTTTTCTGGCAGTCATCATGTTTAAGTGTTTTCTTAACAAAAAAAAAAAAAAGGATATGTATAAGCCTAAACTACTTATCAATTAATCTCCTACACTAATCTCTCCAAAAAGGCATCAGTGCTCTCTACCTGCAGGGGGCTTGATCAGCGGTGGGGGGATCATGGGGACCATGATGGGCAGGTTGCCATGCTCCTTGGTGCTGGGCGTGGAGGTGGACGGCGTGGTGGAGGGCTCTGTGACTCCGTTCCTGGATCCTGGCAAGGACTGCGAGCTGTTGGCTCGATCAGGAGAGCCTTCGCTGTTCTCTGTTGAAGCTGGGATTTTTGGCAACGAGTTTTCTAGACGGAAAAAAAAAATCAAGCAAAATAAAGCATTTACTGCCCAACTGATGAGCAGCACACACTGAAAATCCTGCCATAATGTGAGATCCTAACATCCCGAAAATGTAGAAAACATGTCTGTTTTTTGAAGGTGGGATTTAAAAATGTCTGTTAATCCCCTTCAAACGCACTTTGAAATCTTCGGTATTTGTCTGTCACATCTCAATAAGATCAATCAATTAATAATTTCACATTGGTGAACAACCAAACAACTACATGTGATGTAAACATAACTACATGTAGTCACACAGAATTATCAGATGTCTGCAGTTCCCCTCAGCTTCTTCTCCTTAAGCATCTATCAGCTCTTTGTTTTGATTGCAAAGATGACACTTTAATGTATTAGGTATGTATTAGGATTGTTTTGGCTGCAGAAAGCAACTGTTTTCAGAGAAAAACCTCTAATGATCTCACTTTACATAACCTGGACAGACTAAGTTAGCAGCAAGGTGGTGGACTCATAGAGCATCTTAGAGACAACATTGAGCTTAGATTTGTCAGGAAGACACCAGAAGACTCAAAATGAATTTAAACGTTGCTTCATGTGTCATGGAGGCAACTGTTTAATGTGCTAACTTCATTTGGTTTTACGGAATTTTCCAACTGAGCTCCACACTCTTGAAAATATTAAGAAAAATGAGGACAAACACAAACATACATACATCTGCTAATGTGATTAAAAACTGTGATTAATAACTTTGGAAGTATAGGTATGTAGAACACTCCTCTACTCACAGTGAGAATCTGAATCAGTGGTGCAACAGTCACATGTCAACATACTCCTGACATGCATTTGTCATGTTTGATGATCCTTTCATGAGCAGTTAACATGTACACAAGTGTCATTAGCCTTTAATGATCACATGATTGATAATGAAGCAGACCAGGCAGTCAGGCATTGAACACAGTTCACTGTACGGTGCTTTGGAAGAAGAAGCAGCACCAAAATGGCATGCTGTATGTTAGATTCCTGTACCTTTGAGGACAGAGATGTGCTGTGGCGTCTCCCCGATCTCCAGGTTGTCAGAGTCTCTCAGCTCCACCTTGTCGTAGCCGTACCAGCCCAGCAACTCATTCATGGTGTTCTCTGCAAAACTCTGCAACACAAACAGAAGGCTGGTGAGACCCACGACAAAGCTCCACATACAGAAATCAGTCAGGCTGAAAAATAACAGTGTAATCTGCTTTAATGTTGACATTAATACACAGAGCGTCGCGGCAGACGGGCTTACAATACTAATGAGCAGTGATGTAGTAAAAGTCAAATCGTACCTAGTTAAAGGTGAGTAACTTTTGAAAAAATCACATGAAATATTAATGTTACCCAAGGTAATATGTTAAAATTTGGAGCAGAATGAAGATAAATGAGGTTTGAGGTCACTTGGTACAAAAGCTAATGCAAAATTCTGGTATTTTGTTGAATTTGTTGTGCCTCTCCTGAGACCTTGACTAGCTCTTTAGTTTTGTCCACAATAACACATTTCTTCAACTAATTAGGCAAAGAAATTGTGATCCCATTCAAAATTTAAAGCTGTTCTCAGAGAAAATCCACAATGTAGGTTTTTCCCTCCAGGTCTTCTTCATAAGTACGGGTCAACCTAATTGGGGCGAACTCCTGTCCAAACGCTGCAGTGTGCATCCAGCTGAACTAATGGCCCCTATCACAGCACAATAAAAGAGGAGGATCTTATCAGAGTGTAATAAAGAGAACGGGAACCCCATCACAGCACACTAACCCACACAGAAAATGTATCACATTACAGTAAAACAGTAACCACAGCACAGTAAAGACAGTAACAGCACAGATAAGGCATTGATGCATGGCTCTTTGATGCTGGCATTTTCAATCTTCAACTCTTTCTTACAGATTGGATGAAAATGTTTTCTCTGCATCACTGAAATAGCACAGGGCCAGACACTGATTCATCCATGCTCAGGAAACCTACAACACACAGAAGATTATCCATATTTTTGTGTCAGGGCTGTTGTCGAACTATAATATGTCGTATGGTTGGAGCTGAGATAGTGTATTTACCTCTAATAACTCATTTTGATGTATTTACTTTATGGTAGAAGTTTTCATTCTCAGTTACCTCAGAGTTCTTTCATTTTGGTTTCCTTTTATGTAGCTTTAACATTTTTTTAAACCACCTTATCCCACATTGAGTGAAAAAAATATTCATTCCATGTAACTTATAGATGCAGTATTTAATCAAATTAAAATATGTTCAGTGTCTTTTGCATTATTTTGTACACATTTACATAAAAATCAACCGGGCATATTTAGTGTCTTTGGAAACTTTGTGATCTCCACTAGAGCTCTGAATAAATTCCAGTGGCTTCCTTCTTTTTTTGGACTGATCAAATGATCAAATGTTCAGTATTCTAGAAGAAGCTGCCCTCTCCTGCTGAGCCATGGATGAGACGTTCAATACCAGTTTTACATCTGTGCCTTCCATGTAAAGCTGCTGCCAGGAGATGTTTTTAGCAATAACACACTGACACACACACACTTTTGCACCGATAAAAAAAATAAACAGACTTGCTGTAGTGATTAGTGACTTTTAGAGGAACCGGTAGGTGGATTTTGTTATTGGCTTCCTCTTTGCTCCTGTTTCCCACCCTAATGCTTACCTAAGCTAATCTCCTTCTGGCTTTAGCTTCATATTTGTACAAACGCAAGTGTAACATTGACATTCTCATCGACTCTTGGCAAGACAGAGGAGACGAATATTTTTCAGAATGCCAGACTGTTACTCTAAGTGATTTTTAATATTTAAATGGTAAATATTAAGATGGATCCACGACACAACTAAGAGTAAATTTGTGGATATCAAGAACACATCACAGTGATTCACAATGCAGTAAAAACACAGAGTCAGTTAACATTACAGTTTGTCACTGATCAGTAAATAATCATTCACAGTTCAAGTCCATCTCTGGGTGCTGATAAAACCCCTAAAAACCCATCTCTGTGTTTCAAAGTTACATAATAAGATTTTTTTTGCCACAAAAAAAAACTCCCTTCCTGATTAATAATGGCTTAGATGTAACTACACCATTGGTTCCCCTCCGCTGCTCACTGCAGCTTGAGCACACCAGCTCATCTACAGCTGCTCTGAAGAGGAGCACAATACAGAAAATCCAACTCTGCAAGTTGACAGGATAGATTCATGAGGTTTGTTACATGTTAAACCCCAGAAGATTGCCATCAGTACAATGTTGTTGCAAGGTGGAAATGCTCAGCTATGGCATCGACTGCTTATGTCACTCGTGATGTGTCACCCGGCATATAAAAAAAAAAAACAGTATATGGACATGTTAACAAGGTTAAAAACTTGATTTTCACTGGAGGGAAACTTAAAGGAAATGTCACGGTCCAGTAAACAATATATGCCATGTGTTGTGACAGAGTGCCACTCAAGTTGCTTCCAGCAAAGCAGGAAAGTCTTCACAGTCTCCAGCAGCACGGCAGTGCAGAATGTTATGCAGACAGCGAGCGCAGGTATGAGAATGTGAATTTATAAAACTCCACGCAGGTGAAACATTAAAGTATTTCCTCCATAACAGCCTCTCGCAACACAGTCAATAAACACTGTACTCAAAACAAAACCATAACCCTGCTAATGCATACAGCCCATTATCACCATGCACCTCTCAGCTGGAACATTCCCAGAAGCGTCTGCTCACTGAACCGTAAGCCATGGTAAATGGTTCAGCTATCATTTGACTCTAAAACATAGATGAAAATGTTCTTTCTGGAAACAGACTTCGGCAGTTGCTGAGGATGAATCAGCCATAATTATTTGGTCTGTGTGATGAAATATTAGTCACAGGTCACTAAACTATCAGCTTAGAGGGAACACTGGCACTCTGAAGGGATTTTTCCAAATATTTCAGACAATTGCCATTGCAATTTTCTCATAACAATAACACACTTTGAGTTTAAATTTGGACTACCGAGGTATGGATCCTTGTCAGTTAACACATAACAAAAGCCTGTCGAGTCATATTACAGGTTTGCAAGGACAAACTGAACGTACTGAGCAGCACGTTGCTCCAGTTCAAATAGACGGGACCCGAGTCGGTTCATTATTTTATAGCCGATCCCACTTTGCTCTGTTCATTATCTCATCGTGGCAGCAGCCGTCACTCATCAGTCACTTCATCAAGCAGTTAAATGTCAATTACAAACAGCTCCTGTCGATATGTCAGAGCCAGAGTGATCATGTTGAAGTGGTTCAGTGCCACCCAGCACATCTGACTCTGATCTATAGTTACTCTTATATTATGTGCATTTGTTGTCTGACACAGAAACACAAATTAAAAGGGCAGCCGCTATCAGGTGTAAGATTCTCTTCTTTCGTTTTTGATACTTAGCTATGCAAAGCAAAGCAACAAAACGTATTGACATCTCCTCGACTGCTTCTGAGAGCAATGTCAGGTTTGCAATAAAGAGAAACAACTCACACATTCATATCCAATTTAAAGCTGCACTCAATGAAAGAAAAACGTACTTGAAAGGTATTTAAACATCCAGTAATCATGTAGGATGATGAGGTATCGATGCGTTGCACACTGCAGGTTCATGTCTATCAGCTACGGCTGCGTGTGATGTTTCATAGCAAAGAGACGAGAGAGAAACTGTGGTAAGTCCACATTTCTCAGGAGAGAGTGCTGGAGGCAGCTCTGAAGTGTCGATTCGTGTTTTCCTGTGGGTGGAAAAGTGACCGTACCTGAAAACAGAATTTAATTTGAGCAAATAAAGTGAATCTACAAGGTCTCCGTGGAGGTGGGCTGGTGTGTTTTCACGATAAAATGCCCTTTGCAGCTGTTAAAACGAAAAGAAAGAGATGGCTCGAACGGCTGCCGACACACTGCAGCCTGGTGGACGCTGAGCATGAAGACAACAGGTTGGTCCACTGACTCAATTACTTGATACAAATTCAATCAACAGTGCACCAACACAAAGAGCAGTTTGGATATTGCTTACAGTGGTATAATAGTCAGGGATACACGAGTGGGAATGAGCCCCCACACACACGCACACACACAATCAAACACACACACACACTTGTTTAAACTGAGGCAGAAGTATCTCTTTGCATATTTGAGACACTGTGGCACAGCATAGGAGTGACAGAGGCAGATTTTCTCCTGCTTCGTCAGCACATTTGCTCCATTTCTAAGCATTTTGGAGAGAAATTCATGATGTGTCGTATTTGTATCTCAGAGTAGTAGCGCTGCTCTCGGATCACTTTTTCCTCCGTGTGCTTTGTTTATACAGAGCATATAGTTTCTGCTATTCCGCGCAGAAGTGCCAGTGCCACGGTTAGAAGATGGTCTAAATGCTGGGAGGGCATTATTAATGAAGAACGACAGCAGCTATTGATCTGTCTGTTATGAAATACCACTGTGGTGGGGTGGTCAGTGGGTAAATGTGGCACAAAGGTGCAGGGCACAGTTCGAGTCGATGACAGGTGAAGTCAAAGCACCTTGTTGTGGTGACGAGAAACGCCAAACATGCCCGTAATATATCTGCAGGAGGGTTTGAGGCGCGCGAGACGCGTGAGAGCGAACATCTGGAGCCTTGGACTTCAAGGTTAGACAGCATCAGTATTCAACAATGACAGGATTTGCAGTGATTATTTACAGTAATTAAAGTCTAATCCAAGCACTTATAATCTCTGCATGTTTTTGCCACAGAGGGTTTTAAAAATGGTGGTTAAAGCAGTGAAGGCTGTTAATGAGGACAGCTCGTGTTCGCAGATGTAACAACACTTCTGCTTGAACAATGATGAGTGACAGCAGTGCTCTCTCTGCCTGAAGGTTCCTGGAAGACAGATTTAGTAGCGCGTCCTGAGCAGAGCTAAAGTTAGGTTCTGACAGCTATATACACAACCGTGTTGTCACCCGTACAGACACCCTGTGAACACGTTTTCTGGCCGTTCTGTGCTCTGGCTGCATGTTCTTTCCATTTTGTTTCTTTTTTTACCACCTTCTAGATTTCACATTAGTGTGGGTCACATTAAGAGGATGTAGTCAATTAGAGCTGCAACTATTTATTATTTTTTATTACAGATTAGTGTGCTGATTA